TCGGCCGCCGGATTGTGGCTAATTATAATACACGTGACAGATGATCGACAAAACCTGGCACAGATTTCTTGCGTGCTAACACTAATGACCGTGACGTATATTCTTTTAAAATTCGGAATACGTATATTTGTACATGTGATCTTAGCTATTATTTTGATTGGTCAGAAGGTTTCGTCACAGGTTTCGTCATTAGTCACAGGTTTCGTCAATCGTCAGGGGTTTCGTCTGACGAATGAAGTAACGAAATGTTTCGTCATCATGAAAATAGTTTCGTCAGGTATCATTATTCGGAACTTGTTGCATAATGTACTCTATTGTTTAAGATAGAATTTAAGATTGAAAAAGAAGTAGAAAATGAGAGCAATATCAAAAGCGAGTTTAGGATAGAAAACAAAAGCGAAAACAAAAGCGAAATAAAATAGAATTTCAACAGCGAATTTAAACTAACTAAATCAGGCTTAGCGGATTTTATCAAAATCGAGAGATTGGCGAAATTATTAACCCCCGGTAACAATACTATACCAATTAATACGCTAATTCTAAGGTTAGTATTTTCTTTGATTGTGATTTTCTAGAAAGAATTGAAATAATAATCGTATGATTGTTCTTTTACTATAGATAATCATCTTCTTCTAGATAATCAACACTGACCGTTAAGATATTGACGAACGACGGTGAAGGTGAAAGAAAATGGAAAATTATTCCTGTTTTGGTTGACAATGTGATTGGCACGGAATACCGATACATGTTCATGTAATTAGGATCGTCGAAGAGTTTACGGTAAGATTTTCATGCAGAAATTACTTGAACATTATTTCGGAATTAAAGGATTTAACATCTAAAGATATCAAACGTTTGTATTTTATAGAATGGATAAACTTCTTTACTAAGAAGTAAATCCAAAATTTAATCGTGAATATGATAGAATAGCCTTTTCTGAGCCTATTCACGGATTAAATTTTGTATTTACTTCTTAGTAAAGAAGTTTATCCATTTTATAAAATACAAACGTTTGATGACTTTAGATTTTATGCACTATATTATGTAGTTGAAAATTTATTACTGTATTTAGAAATTTCCTTCAGTGGCGGTGATGTAACTAAATAAAGTTGATGGTTTATTGTGCAAACAGTACGGTTTTTGGATTAAAATATTAAATTGAAAAACTGCCATTACGCGACATTACTTTCATTTGTATCTATTTTGGTTTAAAATGATATTGAAAATCTGAGTTTCCATGAAAAGAATAAAATTTTTATTAGTTAATTATAGAGAAAATTTATTATATCACACAATTCTAACTGTTATCTAGAATTAGTACAATATTATTAATTTCAGGCAAATTTAATTACTAGCGCTAGCAGTTTTATAAATATTTAAATACACAATAAATAAATATGATCAATTTCTAAAATGCGAGTTGCTGATTACTAATATAGCCTCCCGAACCAGCCACATTCCCGAAGTTTGTAATTATACTCTCAACGCCCACACCATTCCCAGAGATAGGGGAACCATTGCCCACATTCATACCTGTCATAGAGAAACCAAATAAATATGATCAATTTCTAAAATGCGATTTACTGACTACTAATATATCCTCGCGAACCAGCCATATTCCCGAAGTTTGTAATTATACCCCCAACTCCCACACCATCCCCGGTACCAGCATTACCTGTGTTAGACATAGCTTCGCATCCCCTCCCTCCGCAAAGACTACAAAATTGTGGAATTTGTAACATATAGAAATTTCAAATTATTCTAAACTTGAATAAACTAATTAAAGTTCGTCTTTGACTTACTCAATGTCTCTTTTAATTGGCAATGAAGTAACAATATTATTGAATATTAATATCGTCAAGGTAAAAAATA